GATCCTGTCGCGTACGGATAGGGCATTATCGCTAGGTATAAAAGGGTACGCTCTAGAACTCACAAGGTAAGCCGTCTTCTCCAACTTTACACACTAGAAACCCTAAAATATCCTCTAACTTGACCGTCGGAGCGTCTTTCCGGGAGCCTCCTCCCGGGAAACGGCTGACGGCCTCTCTTTCTTGTGATCTTGCAGATTTTACCCATGTTCCAACAGAGCGATACGAGTGAAGGGTCAATCCAAGGTCGCATCACATACACATTCACATCTTAACATAACCATGACAACATGAAAACAAACACATGTAATCCAACTCCATTGGTGTGGTTGAAGTATCACCTTCTCCATTTTTTTCCTTGCACCTTTTTTGCCAACTTTTTCTTTAGTATCCTCTCTGATTTTTTCCTTAATTTCATTGTAAGCTTTTGTTCACCCTTCCCCTCTTTAACAACACTTGCACCTTCATCCTCTCCCTTGCCCTTGGTAACATCACTTCCACCTTCATCCTTTGCCTTCTCCTTTTTAACACCACTTGCTCTATCATCATGTCCCTTGCCCTTGGTAGCACCATTTCCTACATCATCTTTTATCTTCCTCTTCTTCACACCACTTCCACTTGCATCTTCACCCACCTTTCTTTTTAGCTTTAATTTTTGGGGTCTTTCAACTGCATCACATGTTGACTTGTTGTGCCCTACCTTCTTACAAACACCACATGCAATCCTTTTTCCTGCCTTTGACACTCTGTGTAATCCACTGACCTCTGTAATGTCCCTATTCCTCTTCATAGTGGGTCTCCCTGACATTTTCCTTTTAAGTGGTGGCAATGGTGGTATGTAGTTTGTTGGAGGCCACATTACACTCCCATTCATGCTTTCTATGGAGTACTTATATGTGTTCATGTATATAGCCGCACGATACAAAGGATCCACAAAGGCCTCCACATTCTTGTTTACATAACATATGGCTGCCATTGAATGAACACAACCATATCCATTCAGCTGCCATACCCTACATGTACATGTTTTTTTTTCTAAATCAACACCATTTGACTCTCCTAAGTTTCTTGTCTCAAATGTATTCAAGCCACTAGGCACCACTTGCCAATACCTAAAACATACACACAGTTAGTATGGAAAAACATCATTAATATATAATAGTGTCACAAATTGAACAAACCTTTGGTGGATCTTCAATTCATTTATAGCAAGTCTTATGTTTGGACATACATCAAATCGACCCCATCCAATACCTTTTAATCTCAAACTATACATCCTCTACATCATATAAAGTCTTATGTCCTCCAACATAGTGATGATGGGCTTCTTCCTTGCATCTAAGAGCACATTAGTGAAGCTCTCAAATAAGCCATTCTCAACAGCATCACTTCCCCTTCCTTCCTGAAAGAATGCTCTGGACCATGACTTTGGATTCCTTCCCATAAGATGCACATATGCAACATGGCTCAACAATTGAACCTCTTTCATTGCAGCATTGGAAAGTGGCTCAGTTGATGCCTTACTAGCCTTCAAAAATAGCTTCTTATAATGAGCACCAGGATATTTCTTCTTGAAGTTGGACAAAACATGCCTGACACATTGCTTATGTTCTATGTCTGGGAATAACTCCTTCACTGCCTCAATTAACCCCTGTATTAACATCATATGGACAATTAGAACATGATCATATTTAGTAATGCTTAATTCACACAACCTTACCTTATGTTGATCTGACATCAATGTCTTACCAAACCCGGATTCAAGATGAAGGTCTTCTTTAAATTTTCTAGAAGCCATTTCCAGTTGTCCTTATTTTCCACAGCTACCACAGCCCAAGCTATTGGGTATATATGATTGTTTCCATCCCCCCCAACAACACATAATAGCTGACCACTACACATTCCTTTTAAAAAACAACCATCCAAGTTTATAAGCTTTCTACATCCACTTCCCCAACCCTGCTTCAATGCATAAACACACACACACACACACATATATATATATATATATATATATATATATATATATATATATATATATATATATATATATATATCCTGCTAAAGTAGGTTTTCCCATCTGGCATAAAGTTTACAGACATCTTAACTGTTGACCCTGGATTAGACATTCTAATCTCCTCACCATAGGACCATAACTTTGCATAATTTTCTATTATGGTACCTTCAACTAGAGAAAATGCATGTTGTCTTGCTCTTCTACATTGTCTCATACTAACCTCAATGCGAAATTTATTTTTTGCTTCTTCTTTTAGCATTCTCACATTGAGTTTCTGATTTTCAAGAACTTCCCTTGTGAAATGACTACCAATCCATCTGTAATCAACTATTGACCCCAACTTAAAATTCTTGGCACAATTATGCTCATTAATAAGGGACTTGATTTGGAATGACTGCTCATCATGCATCCATGAAGCCCATAGCCTAAATGTGCATTCACCAGCACAACACTTAACCAATAATCTTTCACTATCATTTTTTTCATAATACAATTGAAACCCATTGGCTACAACATAATTACAAAGCATGAATTTCAATTGTTTAGGATTGGTAAACCTCATACCTAGAATTAGCAACTGCTTCTTCCAAGGTATGTCTTCATTGAACCTTGGTTGACCTTTCACATCTGGGACATTGTCATCTTCATCATCCTATGGGCTTTCAACTTTTGTTGCATCCTCATTTGCATTTTCTTGACTGATTCCATCATACGTTACTCCTTCCATGTTGCTCTTATGTGGACTCATGAACTCAGTTAGAGTTAGGTTAATACCATTGTCCATTTCCATTGACATGTTTGACATGACAAAACAATTGTCTTCATTGTCTTTTTCTTTACTTACTACATCACAAAATGCCTGCAGATGAGTACCAAAATGGTCCATGTACACAGACAATTGTACTCCACACCTATACGCAACGTCTATAAACTCTTGATATTCAAGATCATTAAAAATCAATGTTAAACCTTCTGGAATTTCTAAATCCGGCTGATAATAGTAAACTTTCTGACACTTCTCTTGTGTGAATCGTTCAAGAAAACCGATAAACTCCTTGTGAGTCATAGCAGCAAAATCGATATTGTTAAATACACGATGAATACCATCTGAGTAGCAAAAAAGTTTGTTGATGAACACACCTTGGAAATGAAGTTTGATTGAGATGAACTCAACCATCGACAAGGATTTTGGTGGAAAGTGGAAACAAGGGTTTTTCGGGAGTAGCAAGGAGTTCAACGGAAGTGGAGAAGGAAATATCGAAAACCAGCTTATTTAAAAGATTACAATCGAAAGGTAACACACGTGGCCATTACATTTAATGACATGGCACCGTCATTTTGTGTCGTGGCACCAAGTATATCTCTTATACCGGTAACCGGTAAGATGATGACATTTTAAAACAGTCATACGTGACTTTATTACCATTATGTACCAAAAAAAAAAACAATTGAGTGACCTTTTAAACAAAAAATGACAAGTTTAATGGGCTAACATGACATTTGCCCTCAAAAATACCCTTTAAAATTAAACAAACTAACACAATAAAAGAAAATCCGCATCAAGTACTAGTCGTGCTCCTACAGATAATCATAAAAAATTAATTTCTATTTAAAAACTCGAATATGGAGGGCCTGATATGCTCGATGTTTGGTGATCGATTGATGGGGTTTGTATGTTCGAAAATTGAGGAATGATATGGAGTTGATTATTGAAAATTGAAATTAGGTATCGATGTTAGAGATGGATTCGATTGTTGTAGTCTAAAGCACATTGAGGAAGGATATGAGTCGGTTGTTGTAATCTGAAGCAAGTTGATGGAGGAAATAGAGTTTGATTAGGCTGGACATTGTGGTTCTCATCGATGAAAGGGGACATAATGTGCATTATGTGCAGCCCTCCATGACAGATTACAGATTCATAAAACCACACTCTATTTCCTACCCTCTACCATTATCACAAAAAAGCAGGCAAGGTTAAAATGTAACATGTTTGATGAAGACCAAAAAAAGAGAAAAACCCTTGTTCCATAAGCCCTTTCATTCTTCTATTAATTTGCTTATTCAACAAATCCCATCCAAACAAATGCAGACCTTACAACGGCTAAAAAATAATTCTATACAACAAATTACTGAAAATAAGTTTATTATTTTGTTCTATGTACAAAATGAAAACAAAAATAATTTTATACAACTAACTAGGTGGCTGGTACCAGGCTTGTTGCTGCGATCTTTAAGAAGGAAAGGGAGCGATGGGAGTGATGTTGTTGGTATCCTTGCGGCGGTGGAATAAGGACCCACCTGAACTGCTGTGGGGTGCAATGTTGCTGGTCCGGCTGGCGGCGGTGATTCCCGCGGTTTGGGTTCCGATTGTTCCCGCTAATGTGTGAATTTCCTCCAGAATTTGGGTTTCGTGTAGTGTGCAAGATAGTAGGAGATGATGCATGATCTTGGTGAGAGGCCAAGTATGTACATGGGCTGAGTATGACACCGATTAACATTCAGTCTTCTGGTTCTCCGCTAACATTAATCTCCTCATCACCCTAGTTTCCTATGTCTATGAAATACTTTAATTTCCTCATATCGTTTTTTATGTCTTCGAAATACTTCAATTTATATATTTTGTGAGTGTGGACCTATGATGTGAGGGATCTATTTTTTCAAATTAAATTTGTGGAAAATAAAGTGCTTAATTTAATCTCAATCCCTAAAATGGGAGCAACGGAGAACACGGCCAACAAAACATGAAAACTACACAACAAAACTTAGTAGGTGAAAATCATAAAATCGAGAAGAAAAATAACACATTTTTATATTTGACATGATCAACCACCCTAGCTAGTTTCTAAAAATGTTATAATCAAACGGTATTTTACAATCTTCATTTGTATACAGATTACGAAAGATTTTGCTAAGATAGAAACTAGGCATATAAGAAACTACATATAGAATTTAACAGGAGGACATATATAGGAGTTTAACTAGAGTTCAATAACTGGTAACAGAGAGAGAGCATGGACATGGAGGTTCTGCCACCTCAATTCCTCCTTCAAGCATCTGGATGACCTTCCTCATGGTTGGCCTCAAGGATGAGTTCTCTTGTACACACCACAGGCCAACCATGACAAAAGTTGCAACTTTCTTGTAGTCATCCAATGCTTCCAGATCGTTCTCAACAAATGTATCCAGTCGACCTTCTTGATAGCAATCCCATGCAAGATCACTTAAAACCGCCACCCCTTTCTCACCACTCTCGTAAACCAAGCTCTTTCGGCATGAAATGATCTCTAGCAGCAACACACCAAAGCTATACACATCAACCTTTACTGTGACAGGTATGTGCCTAAACCATTCAGGAGCAACATATCCTTTCGTTCCTCTAATTCCAGTGTTTGTTTGACTTTGATTCATCATCAAAAGCTTTGCCAATCCAAAGTCAGAAATTTTGGCATTGAAGTAGTCATCAAGAAGTATATTCTGAGGCTTTATGTCACAGTGAATGATCTGGGTGCTACACTCTTCATGAAGGTATGCGAGTCCCTTAGCAATCCCAACAGCAATATGACTCCTCTGTCTCCATGTCGGTCTTGTGTCCCCGAAAAGAAACGTTGCTAAAGTGCCATTGCTCATGTACTCATAAACCAATAGGCGCTGATCACCTTCATCACAATAACCAAGAAGCTGCACCAAATTTTTATGATGAGTTTTTGCAATGGTGTCAACCTCGGTTTTGAATTCCTTTTCACCATTATGAACCACTGTATTCAACTTCTTCACAGCGACAGTCTTTTTCCCTATCACACCTTTATAGACTATCCCAAAAGCCCCCTTTCCCAATTCATCCTTGAACCCATCAGTAGCTTCAACTAATTCTTGATATGTAAAACGAGGTAGATTGCTTTCAACAGCTTTCCTAATTGGATACGAATTTCTTGGCTTCTTCTTGTATATTACAAAGAAACCGACAAAAATCACACCAATCAATACAAAGATAGCAAATACAGAAGTACCTAAGAGAACGGATCCTACAACTATCAGATTTTTTCGATCTTTATTTTCTCCGGGAAGCCGAGTAGAGTTTTGAAGAGGATGATCACCAATCCGGTATTTCACGAACGCCCTCACATTAGCTGAAGCAACCTTCCTCCCGTTAGAAAGCGGAAGCTTCTTCTTCCAACATTGAGTGTCCCTATATATTGCAACAGCACAGAAACAGTCTTGCATGCAGGAACTTTTACAGGTCTTTTCATTACTTGGGTTCATGTGCACATAGTCTGAAAATGGCCAATCAATATTATGGAGCTCGATGAAATCAAACATGCCTCGCCCATTATTGGAGTCAACTTCATCACATGTTGGAGTGAAATCAGGCTTGCAATCACCACTTGGATTATTTGGATCAAGCAATGAGAAACCCTGTGGGCATTCACAGTTTGGCCGGTTACCATCAAAACTGCAAACGTTGTTAAACCCACAAGCTCCAGTGCTTGAACGATCATTTGAATCCACACATATGTTATCTGGCACGAACCATATAACTTCCCAATTTGTATTGGAGATGGGATTCTTGGGGAAGTAATATTGACGAAAAACCCCATCAGAGTCTAGAGTAGCTCTGTGATAATAATCTCCAGAAGGAAGTGAGCCTCTTGGAGTAAGATCAAATCGTTGGCCATTTCTTCTCAATATATACATGTATCCCGTTGCATCGAAGATCACTTGTTCACCGGAGTTTGTTGAATTGGTGGCATCATGAGTGTCGCTGGTATAGTAAGCATCATAAGCATTACCTGAAAGTATATCTCGACTGTTAAGAACAAGATTTCCATCTTCTTGGAAACGTAACTGGAATCGTCCACCAGAGAAGTTTGTTTTGCTGATTGTTGAATTTATCCCTTCGCCTGACTCCATAAACTTAGTAGGCAACAGCGTGTCTGCTGGATAATCAAAACTACCCCATAACTTGCGAGAATTGCTACCAAACATCACGAAGTTACCTGTATCATTCATAAAACCTGATGCAACACCGGAAATAGACCCAGATCTCCATATCTGTGTGCCCTGAGGATCACTCAGTAGGAGTCCACTTTCACGAAGTAGCTCAACTTTGGATCCTGTAGGCACCATCCGACCTTCTTCTGGATACCAGACGATGGTACTGTCAGGTATCTTGTTATACCATATGGATAACAAGAAATTATCGGTTCCTTGAACTTGTTGGAACCCAAAGGCAAACTCACCGGATGATGAAAGCCATGGTTTGACGTTGGGTGTGGCGGTGAGTGATGCACCAACAGATACAGAACCGGTATTCTGTTGTGCAGCTATGAAACGTAGGAATATAGTTAGAAAGACGAGACGCAGTAGGACTAGCGCCATATGAAATGGGTGAATGATAGACAACAGTGAGGAAATTAGGGTTTACTAAATAATAAGATCATTGATTCAAGGTCAACAGAAGAAAGACTTTTGGAGTACACAAATAATGCAATAAGTGTTTTATGGGGTAGAAGATTCCATACTAATTACGACGATTCCTTACTAACAATTGTTGGACCATTTTTTTTGTGGTCATCATTCAATAGGAATCCAATGTGTATGATCGATGAGGTAGCAATGAATGCAAAAATAGCCTAATGGAAAGCAATATGGAAGACGTAAAATATGTGGTATGTGATGTTACATTTAGAATGGTACAAACTTTTTGTAATTTCATAAGAGGATCCTGAAGCATTTTTAATGTTTGAAAAAAAATAAAGTAAGACAAAATTGAAAATTTTATCAAAGGAGTTTAATTGAAAATTGTCACTTTCGTCCAAAAAGTTTTAGACTACCACCATTCATTTATTTTGCTGAGATTTTGCTTCTAAACTTTTTGATAATTCTTAAAATGACCGATTTACCTTTTTAGTTTAGTTTTTTCATTTTTTTAGATACAAAAACTAAAAATATATAAATAAATAAAATACGACCTAACCCCACCCTCTCTCCCACGCTCTTCATATTTGGTTTTCATCACTAGACGGAATATATGGATACATTATCATCGCCGAAATTTATAAATGTCGCCACGACCGTCGGAAGTTACTAACTCCGCCACCGGCGCCGGCCTAACCACCACTACCGGTTAGGGGTCACTACAAGAAAGTCAGGCATTAGCGGCGATGTCTGTCGCCGCGAAAGATAGGGGTCGTCGCCGCTAAAACTTCGTCGCTAATGGTCTGTTGGTCGCCGCTAATGCGAAGACGTCGCCGTTATTGGTTTGCCGCCGCTAATACTTCCCCGTCGCTATTAAAACATCGACGCCGCTAATACTGTTCTGACGCTGCTAAAGACGTCACCGCAAAAACTATTTTCGTTTTTTTTTGTTTATTTAATATTAAAATTATAAAAACATTATATCATTTATAAAATCTGGTAGAATTTTATACAAATATTAACCCATAACAACCAAAAACAATAACATTTACAAAATATTAACCCATCCAAAATATTAATCCATACAACCTAAAGTATTCTTCCAAACAAAGCATTTCATAAACCCTACAATTCATACTCGTCATCATCACTCTCATCATTTCCTTCATTATTATTTGGTGGTGGCAATGAGAGAAATCACTCTTCCCATGCCGCAGAACATGTCAGGTCCTTTAGTATCGTTTGCAGCATTTCCAACTATAAAAAAAACAAAATATATTACCAACATATCATAATAGTATTATACTTTCCAAAAATTATCAAAATAAAAAAATATCAACATATCTAACTATAACCAACATAACATTATAGCATTCTACTTTCCAAAAATTACCAAACTACAAAATATCAACATATCAAACCATAACCAACATATCATTATAGCATTTTACTTTCCAAAAATTACCAAACTATAAAATATCAACATATCAAACCATAACCAACATACCTTTATAGCATTCTACTTTCCAAAAATTATCAAACTACAAAACATCAACATATCAAACCATAACCAACATATCTTTATAGCATTCTACTTTCCAAAAATTATCAAACTACAAAACATCAATGTATCAAACCATAACCAACATATCATTATAGCATTCTACTTTCCAAAAATTACCAAACTACAAAATATCAACATATCAAACCATAACCAACATATCATTATAGCATTCTACTTTCTAAAAATTACCTAACTACAAAATATTAACATATCAAACCATAACCAACATATCACTATAGCATTCTACTTTCCAAAAATTACCAAACTACAAAATATCAACATATAACCAACATATCATTACAGCATTCTACTTTCCAAAAATTACCAAACTACAAAATATCAACATATCAAACTATAACCAACATATCATTATAACATCCTATTTTTTTTGTTTTACCATTATAGCATTATAATTTTCAACTTAAGCTAACAATTACCTGTGATTGTGGTGGTTCTTGTGTCATCGGTTGTTCCTGATCGTACATAGACACAACGATAGGAGGTTTACGCCCAATGCCTCTGATATGTCCGCATCGAACACCCAATATTGTTTCAAAACATTTTCTTATATCACTTCGTGTTAGACCGCTTGCTGCAGAAGAAGCTTGGGTTTTGTTGATTGATCTCCTGGAGTAAAGCATTATGTATTTTTAAAAAATGATAAACATCATAAAAATTAGATTACTAAATACCCTTGGCGATATAAATACTTATATGAAAATACAAATTAACCGCGTACGTATTGTTGCTCGACTGCAGGACTATAAAATACCCCTTGGCGATTGGAATTAGCCTTACGAAATGCTTCGATTCGAGTGATATCCTATTTAATATTAAAAACTAGATTAATTATACTTTAAATAAACATTTAAATATATCATAACTTACTTCTTTGAAACATGCATTGTTGTACAAGCTCGACCCCCTCTGTTTACAACTAGTTGTTTTGCACGGACTTCTGTGTTTGACGTCGAACGCCTTAAAAATTCGGGCGATTGAATCGTCCACCAGAGAAGTTTGTTTTGCTGATTGTTGAATTTATCCCTTCGCCTGAATCCATAACCTGAGTAGTCAACAACGTGTCTGCTCGATAATCAAAACTACTCCATAACTTATGAGAATTGCTACCAAAAATCACGAAGTTGCCTGTATCATTCATAAAACCTGATGCAACACTGGATATAGAGCCAGATCTCCATACATGTGTGCCCTGAGGAGTACTAGTCCACTACCAAGAAGTAGCTCAACTTTGGATCCTGTAGGCACCATCCAACCTTCTTCTGGATACCTGATGATGGTCCTGTTAGGTATCTTGTTATACCATATGGATAACAAGAAATTATTGATTCCTTGAACTTGTTGGAACCCAAAGGCAAACTCACCGGATGATGAAAGCCATGGTTTGATGTTGGCTGTGGCGGTGAGTGATGCACCAACAGTTACAGAACCGGTATTCTGTTGTGCAACTATGAAATGTAGGAATATAGTTAGAAACACGAGATGCAGTAGGACTAGCGCCATATGAATTAAATGGGTGAATGATAGACAACAGTGAGGAAATTAAGGTTTAGTAAATAATAAGATCATTGATTCAAGGTCAACATAAGAAGGACTTGTGGAGTCCACAAATAATGCAATAAGTGTTTTGTGGGGTAGAAGATTCCATACTAATTACGATGGTTCCTTACTAAATTGATGGTGTTTAATGGAAAATTGTCACTTTAGTTCAAAACGTTTTGGACTAGCACCACTCATCTATTTTGTTGCGTTTTTTGTCCAAACTTTTTGATAATTCTTAAAATGATGGATTTGCCCTTTTAATTTTGTTTTTTCATTTTCTTTTAGATACAAAAATTAAGAAAATTAAAATAAATAAAATACGACCTCTCTCTCTCTCTCTCTCTCTCTCTCTCTCTCTCTCTCTCTCTCTCTCTCGACGGAATATATGAACACCATTATCATCGCCGATATTTATGAATGTCGCCACCACCTTCGGAAGTTATTTACTCCGCCACCGGTGCCGGTCTAACCACCACTACCAGTTAGAGGTGTCAAAAAAACCCGAACCCGACTAACGTGAGCCGACCCAAACCCGAATAAGACTAATAGGGCCGGGTTTATTAGGGTCTGAATGTTGAAATCGGATTATTTGTGTCAACCCGATTAACCCATACCTTAATAGGGTCGGGTTTCGGGTTGAATATATTTCGTTTATTTAGGTTCGGGTTGACCCGATTAACCTCCTCTAGCCCATCAGCTTTAAATGAAACATTTTCACATTTATGTTGTACTACTATCCTTGCAGGTTGTACCTCATGAACTCAGTTTGTACCTCATGAACTCAAGTAATCAAGCAAGTTATTTGTTATCTGCATGATATGTGTTTATCGTGACTCTTATAGCTGTATTTCATGCATATATAGTCCTCAAGTAAGTTACTTTTTAACCCTTGTGGTCTGCCCGCTGGTATTAGCTAAATTGCAGGAATATATACTTATTGAATAAAATGATTTTTTTTAGTTTCTGAAACTTGATACAGGAACATATATTTAATAACATTTTTTTAGGTTTTGAAATTTGATCAGCGTTCGAGTATATGTGTCTTTGTTTTGCATAAGATGAAACTGATTTTAAAATGATTGAACTTTATGTAAAGTGGCTTCATATATTACATAAAATAGATTTTTCCTTCCATTATACATTTTCAACGCCTACATAAGTATCTAATAGACTAAAATGGCACAATATTAAACTATCTTATATTTAAAATCCTTAGACAACATTGTACCGGACTATCCTGACAAACCCAACCCTTTTAACCCGAACCATGACTAACCCTTACCTTAATAGGGTCGGGTTTAGGGTCAAATTTTCTTTTTGAAAAACCCGAATAACCCAAAACCCGATCGGGTTGACTCGATTAACACCCCTACTACCGGTCAACATCGCCACCACCTCTTAGAGAACTCTTTGATCTTAAAACCCTCGATTTTCCAGCAACAAACAGGTGATCTGAGCCCTTCATCGAAGGTACACTAGTACAAAACTGGAATATAGCGTCGGTTTTTGAAAACTGGGCGGTCTCGGTTTTCATATTTCTCATCATTAAAGATCATAAAGTGATTCGATTTGATTGTTTCCATGACATTTTACTGAAAATGAGTCACCATTGCAAATCAAACTTCACACATTAACATCGGTTTTACATAAAAAAGTGACAAGTCGTGCGACGATCGAAAACGGTGGCCAAATGTCCTCTTTACTAACAAGTTTTGTTATTTTATATGTACATTTACCTTGTATCGGTTATTAAGCGAGATATAAGGTGTTGAAGTTTCATTTCAAGTGATTAAATCTTTTATTGAAATTTGTAACATGAAAAAACCAGTCACAAGTCGTGCAACGGCCAAAAACGGTGGCCAAATGTCATCTTTGATAACGATTTTTTTTATATTATATGTATCTTTACCTTGTGTCGGGCATTAAGTGAGACGTAAAGATATAAGGTGATAAAGTTTAATTTTAAGTGATTAAATCTTATATATAAATTTGTTACATGAAAAAACTCGGGACAAGTAGTGCATCGATCGAAAACGGTAGCCAAATGTCATATTTTATGACGGGTTTCTTATTTGATATGTACCTTAATGGGCTAAGTGAAATCCAACTATCCAAGTCCAATAATCTGGTTCAAACTATCCAAGTCCAATAAACCGGTCCAATCATTTTTTTAACGTATCTATCACACCGGTCCAGCCTGATTTTTTAAGAAACCGTCTGTTTCGATCCGGTCTAAAAACTAGCATAAAACTGATTGTTGTTGAACCGCTATCATCCCCGGTTCCCGATTCGAACCGGTTTTAAAAACATTTGATATAATATTATAATTTGTCACTACAAGTTGTAAAATATCAGCCTTGCAACTCATGTTGTAAATAATAGGAAGGAAAAGAAAGGACCGTACTAGCTAGGAAGAATTTGCAAAGCTAATATTTTAACACATGTAAATCTTAACAAACACCAAAACATATTAAACCAATTATTAAAAAAAATATTGGGTATACAACAATCGACCCCGGTATACTAGGTATATATATTTAAAATTAAGAAAAAAAATAACCAAAAATATTTACAATAATTATAAAAGATAAAAGAATTGTATTATGTTTTGTCAGTTGTAACTTCACAACTTCTTTTTTCCGAAATGTATTTTTTTACCCTTACAGTCCGACCGAAAGTAATCATTGCAAGATTCAGCAACCATATCAAGTTTATCTACGAGTGGTATTATATGTTTCTCTTTGTGTGGTAAAACTATTGTACTGTATTCTTCATCATCTCTTTCATATTCATCTCTATAACTTTTTGGAGGTGTCATGATCACAACTGACTTTTTATCATCCTCTGGGTCTCTCACATAGAATATAGGTCGTGCTTCTGAGTAAAGTATGAACGAATCTTCCTTGTGCCCTAATGTACCTAGCTCTACCAAGGTGTAGCCAAGAGTATCTTTTTAACCCTACTTTTATAATGAACCCTGTGACAACCCGAAAATTTTTGCCTTGTAAAGTCAGTACAATCAACCCTAAGTCAGGCTCGCTCCTGCTATCTTTTAGCACTGTTTAGAGTCTGTTTGAGTGTTCTAAGCCTAGTACATCCAATGAATGAGTAATAGGAAGTACCTGCTAGAGTCACTGTACAACATTCAAGCCTTAAACACCACCAAAAGGAGTTCACGGCCATAACACTTGAGTTTACGGCCGAAAACTCATGGTTGGCCGTAAACTCCCCTCTTAAGTCTCATTTCCTTCACTTTTCTTTCATTCTTACATTTTCACCTCAAGAACACTTGATTTCTCTCTCAAGTATCATCGAGATTTTCATTCCCGATCTTCCAAAATGTAAGTGATTATTCCCTCTAGTTGTTGTTATCCTTCTTACTGATGAATCACCCTTTGATTTCATCCATGGAAATCACCTTTTGGCTAGATCATCAAGACTTTACGGCCATGGAATCTCCCTTGGTCGTAAACCCATGTTTTGGTCACATATTGGCCGCAAACCCTTCTCATATCCAAGCATTAGACCTTAAACCCCTAATAGATGATAGATAAGACTTTCAAACACCATCTTGTGCATAATGTTCATGAGTTTACGGCCGTAAACTCCTTGCTTGGCCGTAAACTCATCTATCTTGGCCGTAAACACCTCAAAAGCCTTCCAAAGTGTTTGTTTTGTTGCACACTTTTGATGAGCAATAGTCCCACAAGCTTCCCGATCATTCAATCACCCCTTCATGCACATTTTACCATGAGTTTACGGCTGTAAACTCCATGGCCGTAAACCCATGGCCGTAAACACCATTTGGTGGCCTTAAGCATCCCTTTGATGAATCACATGTGATTCTAACACTTAGTCCAAGTCTCTAAGGGTGTTCCCTAGCATGTTAGTTGCTTTAAACACTATATTCATGAAATTATATGCCATTATATTTCATTAGGACTCGTTTGTGTCTCGAGAATTCATTCGTGGAACTTCTTATCCTTACACGCATATTCGTTTGAATCACCCACATAAGGTGAGTTCATACCCCTGTAATCAATCTTTTAAACCGTTTTAAATGCTTTTAAGGGGGGAATACAAGTTGAACACAATGAAAATTGTGTAAATGTTTGTTATAAATATCTTTCAAAAGATTACTTATGTCTTTTATAGGTGTTCAAAACTTTTGAAAAATTCTTTCTAAAATTATGTTACTTTATAGTTTACAAAACTCCATTTTTAAAGTACAATCATAACTTAGTAGATAAATGAGTCTTTTCAATAACAGTTCAAGAAATCATACTAGTAAACTATGGTAGGTATAGTTTAGGGGTTCAGTTCATACTAGATGCTAGAACATACTATAACGAGAAACAGGGAGGAAGATACAATACACGATAACAGAAGGAACATACTAAGATACTATAACAGAAAGAACATACTAAGATACTATAACAACAAGAACATACTAAGATGCTATAACAGGGGAACAATACAGGATCTAATTATACCAATAATCACTAACTCATTGTTCTAAACAAAAGGCGATAGTAAATTGGGTATACATGATCATATAACTTTAATGTGAATTTACACGACCTAGCAATTTGTTTGCGGAAGTCGCATTTGGTCCCCAAAATCTCTTGCAGGGAGAGCGTATAGTATGGGTACTATCCATCACATTATGACCTTAATAAAACAAACATGTTTTAAGGTAATCAGTACGTCGGGATGTGAATTTAAAAGACAACTGTGTACTTACATTTTCTCATTACTTTCATATTGTGGCAGTTCCACTTGAAAGTTAATGCAAACTATTTTCGAGTTAAAATAGTTATAAACTAGGGAAAACTTACACCTTTTCAAACGACAAACAGAACAGTCAAGTCTAGTACATTCAGTGGAAGGGGCCTATAATGCTAACTTTATGAATCCTTAGTGTATACATCAGGGATATATATTAATCGGATCCGACAGGT